TAATATAAATTTTTTAAACTTAGGGAGAACCATTATCCAAACCATAATGTTCTGCCCCAACCTCTCAAGATTCATGTTAATCTCACATATAAAATATACTCATTCTCTTTTTTGGGGGGGGAGAGATTTTTGCTATAGGGTGCGTGCACTTTCTAGATAGACAGAGAGTGACAGAGAGACAGAAAAGAGAAATCACCCCTTGGGGAGATGGTCATGCCACAATCCCCTCTCCTCCATTTTCCCCTTCGGATTTTGGGCATTCACACACATGTGCCCGGTGTGAGTTTTAAGGTGCTGGTTTCAGGATTCTAACTATGGTCAACTATGTGGGAGTCCATAAGAAGAAAAGAAAGTTAAAAACCATCTCTAACATCACATAGCTACTATACAGCAGGGATAAAATTTCCACCTAGATCTAACTGTCATCAAAATGAAACAGACCAGGTCCTGCCCTTGTTCTTACTTTATGAAGTGTTTAATAACCAAAATCAAGTTTACTAACATTTCATATTAACAATGGCAATAATGTTTAGCCATAATACATTAAATAAGACTCATATAATGGAAGTATAGGTTGTAAATAAGTGCTATAGCTATACTTCTCAAACTTTAGTTGACATAGAAGTCACTTAGGGATTTTGTTAAAATTGTACATTCCCATTCAGTAGGTCCGAATGAGAATTCAGGGATTGGGCCCAAGATTTGCATACCTAACTAGCTTCCAGATGATGCCCATGTTGCTGGTCACACTTCAAATGAAAAGGATATGGCCCAAGTTTAAATTCTAACTCCACTGTTTACTGTGCAAAGTTTTTTGAACTTACTAGACATGATTTTTGTCATTTATATGTTGGAATTAATAATAGACTCTACTTACAAGCATGTTCTGTTTATTAAGGAAAAATGTATATATCAAGTTATGTAAAGACATAAGGCATCACTTGTACTTCTAATCTTGCTGTCCTCTTGGAAGTTTCCCAAAAGAGTAATTGCTCTTCTTTTTTTTTTTTTTTTGGAGAGATTTTCACTATAGGGCGCGTGCGCTTGCCAGACAGACAGAGAGAGACATAGAGACAGAAAGCGAGAAATCACCCCCCAGGGGGGATGGTCACGCCGCAATCCCTTCTCCTCCATTCTCCTCTTGGGATCTTGGGCACGCACGCACACACGCCCGGCGCGAGTTTTAAGCCACCGGGTCTGGGACACAAACCGCGGTCACCTACGTGGGAGTCCAGCGACATAGCCATTACGCTAACTGCTGGTTCCCAAGAGTAATTGCTCTTTGAGGACAAAGACTAATGAGTCTGACACAGTAAAAACAAATAAACATTTTTTTTTTCTTTAAAAAGCTGTAGTCTCAAGACTTACTCACAAGTAAGGCCTGATTTTAGAATCTAAGTGCTAATCTCCCTAGGGTACCTAGAGTTGCTTCTTGTGCCAGAATCAATATTGCATGTTTACCAGTCCAGGCCCATGCTACCTCCATATAGTCAGAGAAGGAATTTATTTTTAAATAATTATTTTATTTAACTTTATCTATCTATCTATCTATTTATTTAATTTGACCAAAGGGGGACAGAGTGAGGAAGATAGAGAGGTTAAGTGAGAAAGCAAGCCACCAGGTCCAGGACTCAAACCGTGGTTGGCCGTGTGGGAGTCCAGCATCCTTAACTATCACACCACCTGCAGGCCCCTAAAAAAGAATTTCTTAAGAAAATAGTTCAAATGAAAAGATATTTTTCTCCCTTTTAAAAAAAAAATTAATTGTAATTTAAAATTTTCATATACTAGTTATATACATTCATGGGATTCAGTATCATTTTTCAAAATATGTACCTATTATATATTGATCAAATAAGGGTAACAAACACATCAATCATCTCAAACACTCATCACCCTGCATTACATACATTTGAAGTTCACGCTTCTTTTTCTAGCATTCTATTTTTACATTTTTATATGCTACTGTGCTATATCACTCCGAAATTCATTGCACCCACCCACCTGGGCTTATATCCATCAATAATATCAACAATGTTCTTTCCATCTTCCAGCCCCCAACCTTTACCTTCGACTTTACATTTTTGTTTTTCTTTTTAAATTCATTTAAAATTTTTTTTCAGATTGGGGCAGTGGTTAAAGGTGCTGGACTCCCACATGGTCCATCGCAGTTTGTGTTCTGGACCTTGGCGGCTTGCTTTCTCACTTTCCCTCTCTCTCTCTCTTGCTCTGTCCCTCTCTGGTCAAATTAAAATAAATAAATAAATACATTTATATAAAATAATTATTAAAATTTTTCCAGATTAATTTCATATTTTGCATAAAATTCCCATCATGATGTATACTATACACACACACACACACACACACACACTGACACACACACACATATATAAATATAAAACTTAACATTTTTTGGTCTGTTAAATGTTTCTTCCTTTTGCACCATACAGCAACTCTATACCACCCACTTACTACAATCTACTCCCCTCTTACAGTGTCTAGTATCCACATCTATCTTCTCTACCATCACATCTTCAGATCTTTCAACCTCTGCTATAGAGTGCAGACACTTGGTACAAATCGAGTGGGTATATACAATGTGTATCTTTCAAAGTCTGGTTCATTTGCCTGACATTATTTTCTATATTCATCCACTTTGAGACAAGCAATAGTATCTGATTTTTTTTTATAGGTGAGTAATATTCCATAGTATATATGTGCCACAGTTTTTCAACCCAATCATCAGTTTTTAGACACTTAGGTTGGTACCACGTTTTAGCAATTGTGACTAATGCAGCAATAAACATGGTGTCTTTCCAACAGTGTGTTTTCTTGCCCTTTGGGTAAATACCTGAGTGACGTTACTGGGTCATATGATAGTTTTATTTATAGGTTTTTGAGGAACCTCCATATTGCTTTCCACAGAAGTTGTACTAGTTTACATTCTCACCAACAAAGTAAGTGGGTTACCTTTTCACCACACTTGTCATCCTTTATTTTTTTGATCCTAGCCATTCTAAGTGGGGTTAAATGGTATCTCATTGTGGTTTTAATCTGAATTTCCCTTATGACAAGAGACTTTGTACATTTTTTTCATATGCTTTTTGGTCATCCATAAGTCTTCCTTGCAGAGTTGTCTACTCAATACATTTGCCCATTTTAAATTGGATTATTCATTTTTTTATGAGCAAGCTGCTTAAAAATACAAAAAAAACCTTTTAGAATTGATAAATGAATCCAGTAAATAGGATACAAAATCAATATATATATATGTAAATCTATAGCATTTTTATATACCAATAATGAACAGATGGAGACAGAATGAAAGAAATCAATGCCATTTACAATAGCCACAAAATGAATAGATGCCTAGGAATAAACCTAAACAAACAGGTCAAAGACCCCTGCAATGAAAACTACGAAAAACTAAAAAAAAAAAATTGAGTACAATACAGAAAAATGGAAGGCCATCTCATTTTCTTGGACTGGAAAAATCAATATAATCAAAATGTCAGTTCTACCCAAACTAATTTACATATTTAATATGATTCTGACCCAATTGCTGGTGACATTTTTCACAGAAATAAAAGAAACAATCATGAAATTTGTTTGGAATCACAAAAGGCCCTGTGTAATGTGCCAAGGCAATACCGTGCAAAAAGAATAAAGTAGGAGGCCTCTCACTACCTGATTTAAAAATATATTACAAATCGGTGATAATTAAAATGACACAAAACTGGCACAAATGTAGGCCTGTAGATCAATAGAAAAGACTAGAGAATCCAGAAATAACCCCCAAATCTGACAGCCAATTCTTCTTCGAGAAAGGGCACAAGACAACGCAGTGGAGAAAATAAAGTCTTTCAGCAAATGCTGCTAGAAGAAATAGATATCCACCTGTAGAAAAATGAAACTGGACTCCCATCTTTCATCATTAACAAAATTCAACTCAATGGATCAAAGATTTAATTAAATGTAAAATCTGAACCTAATACTACTGATAGAAAACGGAAAATTTTGAAGACATAGGAGTAGGCAAAGATTTAACTAAGACCCCTAAAGTATAGGAAATAATCCATAAAATAGACAAGTAGAATTGCATCAAGCTAAAAAAAAACTTTCTCACAGCAAAGGAAACAATAATTACAAGTGAAAAGAAACCCTGGGAATGGGAGAAAATATTTGCAAGTTTTATTCCTCAGACAATGGATTGATATCCAGAGTACATAGGGAATTCAAACAGCTCACCTCTAACTTCAAAGGTGGAAAAAGCACAATGACGTGCAAGAAAACAAACCCTTTGCATGGTTTCAGTTCAAGGCCCGTTATTATGTGTCCTTGAACTTTCTTGATGTGATAATCTTGATCCCTATTGGCCTTGCTTTTTTCCTTTTAACTGAACACCCAACCAGTCACTCATTTCCAAGTTGCAGAAAAAATTGGGATCCCTTCTTTTGCCTTTCCAGATCAATCAGCTTTTAAAACAACTGCAATAACATCTCCATTATTTGTGTAAAGTTTTGCCAACCACATTAGACTGTGAGCTTCTTAAGGGCCTAGCTCAGCCTAGCTCTTTCTGATTTAGGGTGAACCGTTCTGCTTCCCCAGAGCAGCACAGAGCACTCTGGCACTCAGGATATGCATAGTAAAGTTGTCCAGAAAGCCTCCTTTCTTAGGTTGGTGGGCTTTGTCGTTTTCCTGCCTTAGTAATCCTCTAAACACAGATCCTAGAACTCCTTTTCTCAGAGGTCATTCCTGCAGGGTCTTCAGAGAACTGCAAACAAAAAGTTGGCAGCTGACTTTACATTCCAGCGTTGCTCCAATGGTGGCACACACAGCCGATCTTGCCAGTCGTCCAGTTTAGCGAGAACGAGTTCTCCAAATTTCAAATAAATCTAGGTAAGCGACGTGCTCTGGTTCTCCTTACTTCTAAACCCAAGTTTACTCTGAGCCTTTAGCGTGCGCTCTTTGGACGTGTTGACTGCGGCCGGGTGTGCAGCGGTTGGACTGGGCTGGTCTGAGCTGGGTGACGGCGTGGGCAGCGGAGCCTGCTGTGCGAACCAGCCGCTGATCTCTGAGCGCCCGGCTTGCGGCTCCCCGCCTGAGCAGCAGCCTGATTTGAAGAAATCAGGGGAAAGATGGAGCGGCACCGGCCACGGCTGCACCACCCTGCGCAAGGCTCCTCCGCCGGGGCCTCCTACTCCTCCTCCGCCTCGATCCGCAGCTGCCGGGAAAACAAGATGTCCCGGAAGAAGGGCCTCCAGCAGCCTGCGCTGCCAGGCGGTTCCGAGGAGCCTGGGGAGAAACGCCCCAAGTTCGTAAGTGTCCCCTGGAACTGGGGTGGGGCAGCTCCCGCCCTGCGGCGGGGCTGTGGACCAGGTCCTGGCAGCTCTCAGGATCATTAAACTCTGATGTGGCTGGCAGCCGTGATGACCCCACAGGAATTGGGGGACCAAAATCTGTTCCATATATCCAGGCTTCCAGTCTTCATAGATTGACAGTGACCGAGTCCAGTTCTATTTGGATGCTGTGACAAATGCACCGATCTTTGTGTTGTCCTCAATTTCTTAAGGCTTACATGCACAACAGTTCAGTTGTATATGTGTTGACGTCATCTTGGTGGACAAGGTATTTTTTAAGATGAACTTCTATATCCCCCTCCTCCAGTGTAAGAGGATGTAAGGCATATCAAAGTGAACTTTCAGTCGAGAGTACTGTATTTCTTTTTCTGCTTAATATTTTAATCCAGCCAGAACTTTTCGAGGTAGATATAATTTTCCAAGTAGAAACAGTTTGTTTTAAAACTTGGCGGGTGATGTCGTCACTGCTAAAGAATGTTTAGTTTGGAAAGAAGTCTTAACTATTTGAAACTTGCTCTTCTGGTTTGCTTTTCTTACTCACTTTACAAGAGAAGTGCCATTGTACACCTTTTTTGTTGATACCAAGGAGTGAAATAGTGATGATTGTTTTATTTGTAATGTTTGTGTATGTGTTAATAAAACACATAGAGCATTTATAGATTCGGGGTGAGCCCAACAGAATGGAAAATTTTAATATTTACCCTTTATTTTAGGTATGAGTATGAAATTTAGTAGTACAACACCGTACTTCATGTGGACAGTAAAAATCATAAAGAATTTAAGTCATGATTCACACATTAAGAGAGTAATGGTCTCTGAACCAGTTGTTAGTAACATTTAATTAAAAATAAGGGCTGAGGGACCGGCAGATGGCATAATGGTTAGGTCCATGGACTCCCATGTAGTTGACTGGGGTTCAGTCTTAGATGGTGGCTTAAAATTCACACTGGGTGCATGTGCCTGCCTGCCCAAAATCCTGAGAGGAGAATGGAGGAGAAGGAAGTGTCCTGTAGCCATCCTCCCTGGGGGGTGATTTCTTGTTTTCTGTCTCACTCTGTCTCACCTGTGAGCACATGCGCCCCATAGCAAAAATCTCTTTAAAAAATGTTGAAAACAGGGGTCTGAGAATATCAGAATACAGAAAATGAAGAACAGCATGGATTAATTATTCTAAAGTAAGTATCAAGATAGTCATAAGAATGGTCACATTTTGCAGGAATAACAAATATGTAACTTGATTGTTTTCTTGAGACATCTGAAAACTAAATAGGTTAGAGTTAACATGGCCCTGAAGGATTCTGGCCATTGTGAGACTAGTGCAATGGGGCAATAACATTTCTTCCTTTTATAGTCCACGTTTTCGGTTAATAATTTCATCCTTTTTGTGTTGACTGTCATCCAGAAACAGGAAATATGATTTTTTTGTGTGTTTTTGTGACTAATTCACAGCAAAGAAGTAATGAAAGTGGAATGCAAATTGGGCCAGCAGGTAGTGTGGTGGTAAAGGCAGCTGTATTTAACATGGCCAACTGCGCAGTTTGAGTCCTGGACCCAGCAGCTTGAAAAACATGTCAAGTGCATGTGTGTGCGTTCTGTTAAAAGAAGAATGGCAGACAAGGGATTGTGATGTGGCCATTACCCCAGGGGTGATTTCTCACTTTCCCTGTCTCTTCCTGCAAGTATATGCATCCTATAGCAAACTTTAAAAAAAAAAAAAAAGAAAAAAAAAGAAAATAGGACCAATATTAATCTTTAGGTGTAATTTCATGGAAGACTGGTGATTTAAGTTCTTGTTGCTAAGATGGCTTTCATTTCTTATGGATGCCAAGTTGACCTCAGCATGCTATTTGTTAATAATGGTATTATAAAGATAAAGTATATCTAAAAGATAATACTTTAAAATTCTGTAACTGATGAAAAATTGTATAGTGGCTTTATAATTTAGAAGTAATTTGGATTCTTGGTAATCTGAAGCTAATGTAGATCCTGTTTAAATAGTGGTTTCTTTTGATGTTTCTTCCACTAACTCTGTCATTAGAAAACTCTGTCATAAGCTATGTCTAATCTATTTAGCTTGTTCTGAATGTTTTGTTTTAGCAATTTATTTATTTGGAAAAGTTCTATTTACTTCTTAAACCTGTTTTGGCATTCTTTATAGTCTTTTATTTATTTTTAAAATATATTTCGACATTTCCTGATTGGCTGTTTATTTATTTATTTATTTGTTCTTTACCTGATAGCTCCATAGGTGCAAATTTGTATTTGTCTACATTGACTGAAAATTCTTGGTGACTTACTGTTTTCCCTATACTTGTTTATAAATTCATTGCTTTCTTAATCTGAAGTATTCTAGGAGGTTAAACTGCGGATGTTCTTCTTTGGACATAACTTAAGTCTGTTTCCACCAGAGCCTGTCTGTGTGTGTTGCTGGTTTGAGACCACATCCCTCTTTAACTGGGATTATAAATGGGCTGGAGGCTCAGCTCTACTTTTGTTTCTGGTCTATGGCTCAGTGCCCAAATCTCAAGACTGCCTCTGAGCAGCTCTTCTAGACTGTTGACCTCTCCCTGTTCTTCGTTCCATACTGGTGGCTCTTGTTTTAGGGGATGAAGGCACATATTTGAGATCTTTGTTGTATAGTTGTGTCTGCTGTGTCCTGCTGAAAGTTAAGTCAGTTTTTGGTTTCTTCTTCATTGGGGTGAACTGATATTAGCATGAATGTCTTCAGGTCAACCAGTCATTGGTTGAGGAAGCTGCTTTTGACTGGAACAAGTAATGTATGTCAGTAACATAAGAGGGGTAAGAATAATTTTATTTTGCACACTTCTACAAAGTTGCAAGCTGGCATTAGAGCTGAGTGATAAACTGGTCACATGTCTGTTCTTAGTATAAGAAAGCAGGAATTCGATTATTCACTGAAATTCTATTTTACTTTGAGGTCTGATAAAGCTGGAAGATGAATCGTTATTTCCTAATGTATAGTTGTAGGATTTGTCACTTTTGAATTGTGTAAAAAAGATTGTGCCTAGACCTCTGTCCCCATAGATAAGAGTACATATTAAAAATTGCTTTATTGTAATTGTATGATAGTTTGACTACTTTGTGACTCAACTGCTTTTGGAACTAACCAACATGGTTTTTGAAAAAACCAACTTGGTCTCATTAAAAATAACAGTAAACATCTCTGTCTTGTGTTATTTTCCCATAGCTATGGAAGTTTTTATCCATACTGTTGCTTTTCTTATTCAATAATGTTTACAATAATTAGTGATCCTTTTAATGAATATAGAATTAGTGATTTCTGGGCTATAGGCAGGTTTTGAGGTGAGAAGAGTTACAAGGTAGGAGAACTTTTGTTTATTGTAGTGAGAATTTAAGTAAAGTTGATATCAGAGTAGGCTTGATAAGATTAATGCATTCTTGCCCAATCGTTTTGGCTTTATTTTGAGGCGCAGGTACAGTGGGCTGAATAATAACTCTCTCAAAGGTACCTTATATGTATGTGTGTGTGTATATAATATATATAATAGATAACATAATATAATATATATAACACATATAAGATATAATTA